CTAGTCATTCTCTGGAAATCAATAAAATGGCATTTTAGGAGTCACTTTTACAGGCCATTAGAGGCTGGGCAGCAAAATAAATATCTCCTGCTCTTTTCAGTACATGGGAAGCACAAATAGGACTTTTTAAAATAATACCTTCTCTTTACTAAACTTGTACTGTGAGTCAGTTTCTGTGTGGGTATTATCTACTGAGGCAGGTGTTATTAGCGTCCAACAGCTGGTGAGGTCACTGAGGCTCAGAGAGATTAAGTAACTTGCACAGGATCACACAGCTGATCGCTAGTCAAACTGGAATTCTTAGTCATGTCTACGAATGCCAAAGCCCACACCTTTGTGCTAACTCTCAAAAAGCTAATCTGAGTGCCCACTGCATCACTGTGGCAGAATTCAGAGAGGTGAGACGTGATGGGGATCCTTGAGGAATTCAGAGAATAAATAAATAAAAATTAAAGTCTAGGTGGCATCTGTATTTGGGGAAAGGGACTGGAGAAGCACAGAGGCTCACTTATGAACCTCTACATAAAGCCCCTAATGCTCTGGCCCAAGACTCCAACAGCAACTGGGCAGAAAGAATGGACTTAAAAATAGTTTTTTTACTCCTCATAGGGTCTGTCCCTTCCAGAGAGCCAAGGCACTAATGAGAAGCATCCAGCATATTCTCTCACTGACTGATTTTTGCAACAGCTTTGCTTCTCTTTTCTTGGCTATTACTCAGCCATCATCATTCATGCAGTTACTTTTCTGATTTCCTCTTGCAAACTTACAAACCGTGTGAATCCTGTTAAGTCCAAGTTGAAAGAACTCTCTGACTGAGGCACGCTCCCAAAGCTCATCTCGTTCTGTGCCCACCCAAGAAGGACAAAAGCTCTTTGAAAGCTGAAAGTATCGGAGTGTTACAAAAGAAATACAGTGCCTTAGCATACGGTATTTGTTCTTCTCTTTCTGGCTTACTTCACTCCGTATGACAGGCTCTAGGTCCATCCATCTCACTACAAATAACTCAACTTCATTTATTTTTATGGCTGAGTAATATTCCATTGTATATATGTGCCACATCTTCTTTATCCATTCATCTGTCGATGGACACTTAGGTTGCTTCCATGTCCTGGCTATCGTAAATAGTGCTGCAATGAACACTGTGATACACGTAATTTTTGAATTATGGTTTTCTCAGGGTATATGCCTCTAGGGGGATTGCTGGGTCATATGGTAGTTCTATTTTTAGTTTTATAAGGAACCTCCATACTGTTCTCCACAGTGGTTGTATCAATTTACATTCCCACCAACAGTGCAGGAGGGTTCCCTTTCCACCACACTCTTTCCAGCATTTATTGTTTCTAGAATTTTTGATAATGGCCATTCTGACCAGTGTGAGGTGATACCTCATTGTAGTTTTGATTTGCATTTCTCTAATGGTTAGTGATGTTGAGCATCTCTTCATGTGCCTCTTGGCCACTGTAATGGGATCTAAAAAAAATGGTACTGATGAACCTAGTGGCAGGGCAGGACATAGACATAGAGCATGGACTTGAGGACACGGGGTGGGAGGGGGAAGCTGGGGTGAAGTGAGAGTAGCATCGACATATATACACTACCGAATGTAAAATAGCTAGTGGGAAGCAGCTGCATAGCACAGGGAGGTCAGCTTGGTGCTTTGCGATGACCTAGAGGGGTGGGATGGGGAGGGTGGGAGGGAGACACAAGACGGAGGGGATATGGGGATATATGTACGCATACGGCTGATTCACTTTGTTGTACAACCAAAACTAACACGGTATTGTGAAGCAATTATACTCCAATAAAGATCTGTTAAAAAAAAATGCAATGCCTTCAAAACATATAGTACTTGGCAATTTATAATGCAGTTTTCTTTATCCTCACAACAACCCCGTAAGATTTTATTATCCCCACTTTACAAAGGAGAAAGCTGGGGCTCAGAGAGTCAACGTGACTCCCCCAAAGTCACACAGTGAGTATAAGGCAGGGTGGGGACTTGACCCAGGTCCCCTGACTTCACAGGCCAGTGCTTTCTCCACAAGACATCACAATCATCACCATGTTTGAGAAGACGGAGTGGTGGGTTGCAGCGTGGGTGACGCTTTCTTAAACATCTCCAGGCCAAGCAACCGCGCATTATTCTCATTACCGTCCTGGGAACTTATCTTCCAAAAGACTAGCCTCCTTCAATCTGCAAAGACACCCCCGCGACTCCTTGCTGCCCCGCTCCTTCCTCCTCTGCTGCCCTGGCTAACTGACATGGGGGGTGTCCCTGGCAGGTGGGCACAAGGCAGGTGGCCCCTGGCTTGCCTTTTCCCCCTCCTCCCCTCTACTTCCCAGGCTCCCCAAATGGAACACAATTGGAGTTTCATCTCTCTCTATTCTTTTGCTAATTTGCTGGGCTCCCCCAGATGCCTCCTTACATTAGGCAAATGCTTTTGCATTGCTCTGGGAATAGTCTAATCCTTTTCCACCCTTTTCCATGTTAATGCTGTGATTTACAAGAGCAGTGTTAGATAGGAAAAAATAAATAAATAAGCAAACAAAGAAGTTCCTTGTGCTTTACATTTTGAGGGGTAGTGACTGGGAGGGGGCGTGAGGGGGACATCTGGGGCTCTAGCAATGGACTATTTCTGGATCAGGGTGCTGCTGACACAGGTGTGCTCACCTGGAGAACGTTCATTCAGCTGTGCACATATGATTTGTGTGGCCTTCTATATGTATGCTAGACCTCAGTGGAAAAATTCCAACAATGGAACAGGCAGGTTTGTGGTGGGGCAAGCCTGCCGTGGAGGGAGTCCCTACACCAGAAAAGCAGCTATACTGGATTCTTCGAGGGGCCTTTCAACCCTGAGAGCAAAGGCCTGTAGGATGCTGCAGGGGGAACAATTCCATAGCAGCCCAAAGAAAGGGCTGCTCACGACACTACAGCTGGACAAGAACAGGGACCACAGAATCCCAGCTCGTCTCTTTGGGCAGGCATCTCCTCAGCCTCTCAGGACATTTCAGGAGACCTGGCCCCTAAATCCCGGAAAGGACACTGCACAATCACCTAGGTTACCCTACCACCTGTGTTGGCCAAGAAAGGCTTAACTTCTAGGTAACCTTTTCCATTTTAAGATTCAAGAGTCATAATGGTGAGGTTGAATTCTGCTCCCCAAGCACAGCAAGGATCTTGCATTGATACCTGCCTTACATCTTTTAAGTAGGTTACTTTCATGAATGGCTACAAATGAATAATAATTAACTGGCACACCCATTCCTGGCGCAGTCCATACGTTTGAAGTCACTCAAATCTCCAGGTATGTGAATAAGCTGTTGCTCACCCCCGAATGTTCTTTCCTTCTTTGTTTGTCTAGGAAAAAGCCTACCTGTCTTTCAGGGTGTAGCTTAAAGGCCCCTTCTTCTATGAAGCATTTCCTGCCCGCTGCAGGTAAAGCAAGTGACCCCTGCTCTAGAGTCTAAAGCATTTTGTGTACACGTCTCATAGAATTTGCCACTATGCAATAGGACAGGTACCTTGCAATAGGTTTTTCCTGGGCCGGCTTGGTTTCTTATTCCCATTGTAATCCCGAATGCCTGGCCCGGCTCCTGTTACATCAAAGCACGTCTGGATGAAGGGGCTACTTAAATGATCTGGATACCTCGTGCATTTATAAAATAAATAAAGGCATAAAATAATTAAACCTCTTCTCTGAATGACTGTTTATAACAGCTCTATCTGTAATAGCCAAAAAACTGGAAACTATGTCTCTCCATAGGTGGATAGTTAAGGAAACTGGTACATCCACACCCAAGAAATATGACTTGGCAATAATAAAGGGCAAACTATTGATTTATGTAACACCTTTGATGGATCTTGAGGGCAGTACTTTGAGTGAAAAAATTTAACCTCAAAGGTCATTTACTCATGACTCCATTTATATAAAATTAGAAAATTTAGAAATAGAGAACAGGGTAGCAGTTGTTAGAGGTTAGAGATGGTGGGAAGAAGGGAAGTGGGTGTGACTATAAAATGGTAGCTTGAGGGAGATCTTTGTGGTAATGAGATTTTGTATCCTGATTGCAGTAGGAGTTACACACATCTACACAAGTCTTAATAGCTTTGATATTTTGATATCCTGGTTTTGATATTTACTGTAATAATGTAAGATGTAACCATTAGAGAAAAATGGGTTAAAGGTACATGGTACCTCTCTGTATTATCTTTGCAGCTTCCTGTGAATCTATAGTAATCTCAAAACAAAAAGTTATAATTTTTTAAACCTGTTCTCTGAGGTTCTTTCTACTCTCTAACTGAGTGTGTCTATACTTCACACCAACCTTTCACATCTCTTAATGTTTTACAATTTCAAAATACGCGCAGATTAAATTACATCATTTCGAAATGACGGCAACTCCATAACGTAGCTGTCCTTATGCCCATTTTACAGATAGGGAAAACAAGGCTCAGTGCTTGTTGAAGGGTACACAGATGGTACATGGCAAAAATAGTGCTCCAACCTGACTCAGTAAAATATCTACAGAATTGTCTTCTCAGCTGCGAAACAAGGGGATTTGGCAAAAATGGCCTCTGGACGTGTATCCAGTTATAACACCTTTGTACATAGGACTCGATACATCTTGTGCTCTAGCTTTCCTACTTCTGAGCCAGCCAGCATAAGGGTCTGGCAGTGTAGAGACTGGACTGCAGGCCAGTAACTGGACCTATAGAGGAGAGCATCCATCAGAGGGCTCAGTGCTATGTTGCTGGTGGCATCTGAATGGAGGCATTAGAGTCCCCAGATTTCCATTCTCTCCAGGCTAAGAATTGTTGGGATGAGAATCCCAGTGGCTCCTGGGTTTCCATGTTTCTCAGATGCCTTGCCTCTCTGGCTGGCTTCTGCTCCTCTGTTCCATTTCCCTACTTCCCATCTCCCGGGCTTCATTCCGTCACACCCCACTGACCCTAATTAATGATACTCTCTATGCCAAGGAGGTGAGCTGTGAAAATGTCTTACCAGATTAGTGAAGATGTATGTGTAATAGGCTGACACCATCCCTAGTTCCGCTGCCTGCAAAGGGAAGAGAAGGAGATTAGAGAGGAAAATAAAAACCCGCTCGAAGTGCGTGAGCAGGGAGGGCTCCAAGTGTCCGCCCTTGGTCTGGCCCACTACCCTTCAGCACCAGCCGAGTAGAACATCTTGATGGATTGTTTCTTACATTGCCCTCGGCCTCGGAGGACGGGGCACAGGAACCCTGGCCTCTAGAGTAAGGTCCCTCCCCCTCCCCCCCACACCCCACCCCTGCAGTGACACTCCTAGTAGCTGATATTCTCAGGTAAAACACATTCCCACGGATATAACTGGGTATTCTGGAAACCAAAGTGACTTTACGGGAAATGAAACAAATAATAAAACAGACTATAATAATCATCCCCACAACCATTAACAATACCAAAGGCTAACCCTCACTCAGTGTTCAGTCTGCACTAGAAAGCATTTCACTTGGGTTCACCTGATGAGGTAGGCACTATTACTCCTTCACCACCCCCACTGACAGCTGAGCGCTGACCGCTGAAGCACCAAGGGCTGTGCAGCTTGTCCAGAAGATCACGCGTCTCATAAATGGAAATGTCTCATACTCCCCTTGGAGGGCTATGATACTGATGGAACTACTGACGCACTTCTCTTAGGAGCCGAGGCATAGGTAGCAGAGAGTCCGCGGGTTGCAGGCAATTCCCAAACTAACTCCACCCCTAGCGGGATGACAGTGAGTGAGACTCGTAAGGGTATTCTTGAATCTGCAGTAATGTTGGAAACAGGTGAGTCACCTGCAAACTTTGGTCCTTTATTAGTAGTGAGGAGCAAGTTGCCTGGGACGTGCCCTTGGTCACAGCGCATCAGCAAGTCTCAGCCCGCGGTTGAGAGCTGTGACTTCGGAAGGGTCTCCCTTTGTCTGATCTTTGTAGCCATCATAAATACCCCTAAGCAAGCTTCCCCGTCGGCGTGCCTGGCTTGGAGTGTGACAGGTGCTATAGAAGTTGACAAGGAGATCACGGAAATAATGAGCCCAGCTCTCCCCAGGGCCCTCATCCCTCCTGACCGTCGGTGAGATCTGCATCATGTAGCCCACAGCCCTGGGCCCCTGGGAAACCATTTTTGTCATGACTACTGAGGTGCATGGGAGGAAAATACAAGGCCAGGGATGATTAAATTTTCCCCTTACATCGTGTTGACCCCCCAAGGCACTCCAATAATTTTGTAAGCATTCTCACAGGAACCTTCACAGCCTCCTTGAAGGATAGGCCAGGGTAATTATATCACTGCCATTCCAATGGGAAACAAATGTCTGGGGTGAGATTACACGGGGGGTCCTGATGGAGCCCAAGGACCCTGACGGGAGGCTCTTCCTTCTTCTAGCAAAGCTACATTGCCTCCTCCACTTCCAAGAAGATGGTGGGGCACGATGCTCACCTCCATCCCTTCCCTCCCCCACCGCTGTCCGTGCCTCTCACCACTGCCTAGGCCAGCGAGGGCTCCCGGGTTACAGGGATGGGCTGGGGGCAGGGGGCTGGGAGAGGGCACCGTCAGATGGTTAAAATACACTTTGTGAAATCTGATGTCCTAAAAATAAGAGACAAGAGACCCTTGGTTTTTGAGACCTGAATTCTGGGTAAACACGGAGTTCGTTGCCAGAACAGCCGCTCAATAAAGTAGGGGATTACTCTGGAAATCTTCCTGAAATCAAGAGGCAGCGGAGCGCTGTCTAGCTCTGGGGCCAGGCTCAGGAGTGCACACCAAGACTCCCAGAAGCTCTGTACATCCTCTGATCACACTGCTTCCCACACTGAGTTCATCCTCCCTGACGCCCCTCAAGGCCAGGTTGTAGCCCCGTGAAAAAGGAGTCTGAAGCTCCAGGGAAACATGCGGACTGAGTCCAGGACGGATGCAGGGCCGGCCTGCTGGGGCTGCTAGGAATTCAAATGGGAACAAGGTTTCCTGAAACCTCGCTGGTCACTGATGGATTTGGTTCCAAGGTCACAAGGGCTGAGTCTGACAGGTGGCCTCAGGAAAGCCTGCACCCAGCAGAACCATTTGCTAATAATGATCATTACAAGGGAATTTCCTTCAAATGCACAGCCATAAAAAAAATTAAAGGCGTTTTTAATGAAAATACCCAGTATTGGCAAGGGTGCTATAAGACACCTATATGCTGCTGGTGGGAGTGTAAATCCTTACAGCCTTTCTAAAAGGCAATGTGGCAAATCATATCAAAATACTGAAAAGCATATGCATACCTTTAACTCAGTAATTCCACTCCTAGAAATTTATGCTCAGAAAATATTCATGAATTTGCATAAAGATTTATGTACAAAGACGTGCATCCCAGCATTATTTATTATAGCAAAGATTGAAAACAACCTGTATCTCCAACAATAAAGGATGGTTAAATAAATTATGGTACATCCATGGGATAGGAAATGATGCAGCCATTAAAATATTTGTAGAAAAATATGCAATGACATGAGAAAAATGCATGGCATGTTATTAAGTAGAACAAAAACACAGCTTTCCAAAGAGTGTGTGCCGTGTGATAATAGTTTTGGAAAAGGAAAAAAATGTGTCTGTAAAGGTAGAAAAGCTAGACACCAAAATTTAATAGTGGTTCTCTCTGGGTCATGGAATTGTGAATGATGTTTATTTTTTTATGTGTGCTTTTCTGTACTTTCCTAAATTTCAACAATGAAATACACATATTAAAGAGAGTGGGGAGGCAACTGCATATCCTGGGAGCGATGAAATATTCCTGGGCAAGGGCTGAGCCTAAGACTTCCACCAGGGCACCATCCAGGTAGGAACCAGCTACCGTAGGTTCCAACCCGCCCCTGGCAAGGGGACTGAGGGAAATCTATCTCACTCCCTACTCCCCACCTTCCTGAGGACTCCTCAGCCTTTATCTCTCGTGCCCTGAAACTTAGAGGAGCTTTTCTGTCTTTGATGACTTCCTCGATCATAGTTCTGGACATAAGAGAAGAAAGAGAAAGACAAAAATTCTGTGTTTGAGTGTGTGAGTTGGGTATACCCACACAGGCAGACGTGGGTTTGGAGCTGTGGAAAATTACTATAGCAACAGGCTGAAGGGACAGCCCGCAGTACTCAGAGAACTCATTCTAATCTCTTATTAATTCTGAAACAAAACTAGCTGGGGTGGGGAGGTTAGGAGACAGCGAGGGAAGGAGAGGAAGAGAGAATCATCGCGTGTCTGCCGGCCTCCTCATGGCTCCACAGAAGTTAATGAGGAACCTCACTCCCCCACTGGAAGATGGCAGGTTGCACTTAAATGTGCAATTAAAATGGCATTAGAAGAGGCCAATGTGCCTGGAGAGGCTGGGGGAGCTGCCAGAGCCATGGCGGAGCCTGGAAGCACGGTCTACTCTTTCTGGGGCTGCTTGCCTAGCCGAGCCACCAGCCCAGGAAGTGGAGCCAGTGATTCCAAGGATGCCCAGCAGTTTGCAGCTGTTTGTCCAGAGTGGACCCCCAGGTATTGACTTCTCTCTCTCTCTCTCTCTCTCTCTCCATTTCCATGTGTATATGTTGATTCAGGAGCTAGCACCCTGCCCCTCTGTGTCCCGGGGGGTAGAAGAAATGGGCTGATTTGCTGTTAAGAGAACCAATGCCAACTTCGCTCTGCTCCTCACAGGGCCGAGCCTTGGACAAAGCTGCTCATCTCGCAGAGTCTCAGTTTCTTCGTCTGCGGAGGGAAGATATCAGGCCCACCTTACATGGTCATGGGGAGGATTACACTGAGAAATTACATGACAGCACTTGGTGAACTATAGTACACGTGTAAGGATTACACACAGGCCTGATATTCAGTAATACACACGGATGTGACTGCCCTGGTTGTCAAAATATGGGGATGCTTCTACTCCTTTTGGCAAATAGCCTCTGTCCCAAGTCCCCAAGTGGCCCACGCCACCACCCTAGCCCCTCCTAGGAACCCCTGGACCACAGAGTTCCTGGCAGGTCTAGGCTTGGCCAGTGTTTCAGCTGGTGGCTGCCCTGTTGCACCATGAGTTACATGTTCTATGACATTGCCATCACCCTGCTTTCTCCTTTTAGCTCTCAGGAGCCGTCCATTGAAACTGAAGCACAAAGAGGTTTGTTAGGGTCAGAAGTCCAGCCCCGGGCTCCTTCAGCCTTGGCCCAGGAGGATGCCCAAGGCAAGAAGGGAGCAGAGTGCCAGCTCAGAAGGAGGGGGAGGGGAAGGGGAAGGGGAAGGGGGCGGACGCTCGGCGCCCACCAGCACCCGCCCGGCCCAGCGCCCACCTTCAGGAGGATGGTGTGGGACATGGACGCGTTGGCATGGATGATGATGGTGGCTGTCTTGTCGTCCCGGATCTCCTTGAGGAGTGGGGTGGGGTCCCTAGTGTCATCCAGCATCCGGACCGAGAGGGTGTCCTTGGAGATCAGGAATTGCCGGAGCAGCTTCTCGAGGTTTAAAAGGCCTGCAGGGGAAGAGAGGACAAAGGCCCTGAGGGTCCACGGCGCTGCCTTGGGAGACACGGGAGCCAAAGCAGGACAAGCGAAGACTCGTGCCGGAGTCAGGGTCGCGGGTCTGCCCCCTGTTGGTTAAGCAGGCACATCCTAACCTGAGCGAGTCTCTTAACTTCTGGGGCGTCCTGTCACCCCATCTCAAATGAAAAGAACCCTCCTCAGTGCCCAAGGCCTACCCCAACCCCCTGGGGAATGCTCTTTTAAAGCAGAGAATGAGGCTCCCTTGAATCGGACAAGAGAATCCCCAACTCCTTCTCACGGCCCTGGGGGCAGCGCTGCCCAGCAGCCAAGACCTGTGTTCAGAGACCCACCAGGCCTGGGTTTCTTCCCCTAACTTGGCCACTTGCTCACTGGGTGACCCCATGTGGCTGGGTCTCTTGACCTCAGTTGCTCATCTGAGAAATGAGAATACAGGCAGACCTCGGAGATACTGCGCGTTTGGTTCCACGCCACCGCCATAAAGTGAGTCACAAGAATTTTTTGGTTTCCCGGTGCATATAAAAGTTATGTTTACACTATACTGTAGTCTGTTAAATGTGCAATAACATTATGTCTAAAAAAAGCAATGCACATACCTTAATTTAAAAATATTTTATTGCTTCCATCATCTGAGCCCTCAGTGGGTCGTAATCTTTTTGCAGGGGTAACATCAAAGATCACCAATCACAGAACAAATATAATGATAATGAAAAAGTTTGAAATATGGTGAGAATGATCAAAATGTGACATAGAGACACGTAGTGAGCAAATGTTGTTGGAAAAATGGCACCGATAGACTTGCTTGAGGCAGGGTTGCCACAGACCTTCAATTTGTAAAGAAGCAGTATCTGCGAAGTGCAGTAAAACGAGGTGTGCCTGTAATACCAGCGGCCAGAGCTCAGGGCTGTGGAGAAGATTAAATGAAGTAACACGCCAAGTGCTTAGGCCAGAACCTCACGCATGGTGAGCCCTCATAAATGTTACATGCAGCCTTTATTTCCGTGGTGGAGGTCGGGGAGCAATTCCCTCAATGTCACAAGGCCCAGAAAACAGGTCTAGCGAAACCCTTTGAACTCCTCAGAGCACCACGGCTGCACTGAGACAAGGTATTATTATGATTATGAAAGAACAGGTCTTGAATTGCATTCCAGCAGGCAATCAAGTGGGAGCAGAACAAAACAGAAAACTGGGATTGTGCGCTAAAGACTCTCCCCCTCCCTCGCTATCTGCCTTTTAGCATACGGGAGGAGGGATTCGGGAGAAGGGATTCCAGAAGGATGTCACGGAGACACAAAGGTCTTAATCCTGCTTTGTCTCTGAAAAGGCAGGCCAGGAGGAGGGTGTGTGGTTGGGTGGGAGGTCTCCTGAGAAGTCAGCAGGACTTCCAATGGAAAGAGACCTATAGGCATTTGTTCTCAAAAGCCAATCAATGATAAGAGTAACATTTTTCTTATTGTGTTCCAGGTAATGGGCTAAACATTTTAATGGCTCATCTCATTCAAGTCCTCCCAAGGATCCTATAAGTATTCGTATCCCACAGCACAGAGGCGAACAGGAGGCAGGAGAAGAATAACTCTCCCAGACACAGTCTGCACACACTGAGGATGGCCCGGGAAGGGCTGCTTTCTAACCAAAGATCCCAGTGCCCTGGTGTCTGTACTGGTTAAAGGAATATTAAATGCAGAGATGTCATGAATATGACCCTCCCTGTTCAGGTCACGCCCCCTCCTGACCCTTGAGAACCAAAAGGTAAGATGGGGGGCATCTGAAGAGCATTCGTAGCACCTCCCTCATTTTGTAGAGAGACGACGAGATGTGCCCGGGAGCACAGCTGGGACCACAATCCCCATTTTCTCGTCTCCATCCAACCCTCTTCCCCTGAGACAGACTGCCTCTTAGGATAAAATGCAGCAGGAAGCATCAGGCACAGAACCCAGGGAGGCCTGGAGACACGCGTCTCTGGGCTTTGGCGGGGAAGCCTTGGTGTGCCGTGTTAACAAGGAAAAGGGAGCAGGGTAGAGCCCAAGGGCCTGGCATGATGGAGACTGGAGCTCTGGAAGGTGGGGTCAACCCCTAACTCCCGTCCCCCAGGTCCTGAGAAGGTGGTCCCAGGAGCTGGAGGCTGCATCAGGGAGCAGGGAGCCCCCGGAGGGCCTGCTATTCACAAAGAGGCTTCAGAAACCCAGGCCGTGCAAGCCCAGCATCGGGTTGGCCTTTCCTTCCTTCCCAAACAGGCCTCAATAGAGGCTTGTACAGACCCCCTGCTGCTATCGGTGCCCCTCCCAGCCCCTCACCACCGGCTTCCATCCAGAGTGGCACTGATGCTGCCAGGGCACTTCCTGCCAACCCAGACGCAGAAGATCTGGATTCAAGCTCAGGGTCAACCCTCGCTGGCTGTGTGACCTTGAGAACCATCTAACCTCTTCAAGGCTCCACTCTTCATCTGTAAAATGGGCATAACAGGTGAGAACTCACTGAGATCCCATGTGAAAGCACACTTGGAACTGGCATGCGTAGAATCAGTGTTACCTCTTTTGTGTCTACTCATCCCCACAAGAACCCAAAGGTCAGGAATGGTGACTCAGTGAGGCAGAAGGAATAGGGAGGAAGGTACACGTCTGTTCATCCAGCACTCACTGTCCTAAGGGCCCGGCACCCGGCCAATAGGACACCAGCAGAGAAGATGGATCAGGTACAGACCCTGCCCTCAGGAGCTTAGAGGCCAGGAACCTGTAGCTAAGTCTATAGCAAAGTTCAAATCATATCCCCACTACCGTATATAAAGTACAACTAATAAGGACCTGCTGTATAGCACAAGGAACTCTACTCAATACTCTGTAATGGCCTATGTGGGAAAAGAATCTAAAAAAGAGTGGATATATGTGTATGTATAACTGATTCACTTTGCTGTACACCTAAAACCAACACAAGATTGTAAATCAACTATACTCCAATAAAAATGAAAAAAAAAAAACCCAACCCAAATGATATCCCTATTTTGTTTGGTGGCCTGAAAATCTGGTTTCCTATGGGGTAGCTCCACTGTGTCCTGTCTGTAAAATGGAGAGAATATTCACATCTTCTCAGAGATGATGGGAAAAGCAAAATCCCACTTGGACAAAGGTCTGAGCACTCAATCAAAGGACAACGAGGTTGGGGAGGCCACAGAGCTGGAGCTGCTGAAGTCATGGCCATCTCCTTGGCTCAAGGAAAGATCTGCCAGGACACGCTCTAAGGGAGCAGCTGGAGGTATAAGTAACGGAGGAATGGTGGGTGTGAACCCCCATAGGGCCTGGAATGCAGCAGGGAGAATCTTTGGAGCCTGACGGAGAGAGAGGCCAAATCCCCTGGGATCCTTCAGATGCGCAATGAGATTCAGTGGGAGAAGACAAAAGCCTGGGGAGTGACAGTACAATTACACACAGCACGGAGCAGCCTGGCAAAGGCAGCCCAGGGACCCTTCATCCCGTTAAAGCTGGCAGGTGCACTGAGCTCCCGGGTAAAAGAGCTCCAATGTGTCAGGGAAACTGGGGACCCTACTCTAATAGATGCCCCACCCCCTGCTCCCCCTTGGGGTGCTCTGCTGCCTTTTAAACAAGGAAGCAGCATCCCTTCCCCTTCTCATCCAACACTGTTTGCAGGGAGGCAGGGAAGGCCCAGGGGAGGGCAGGGGAGAAGGGCAGCGAGTCCCTGGGAGGTCCGCAACTGTCCCCAGGATCTCCTACCCAGTCACTCCCTTTCCCAGGCTGCACTGCACCTGAAGTAACAGAAAGAGCGCCAGGTGGGCCGTGAATCCCAGCTCCTGCACCGCCCATAGGTTAGCTAGTGTGAGCCATTCTCTCTGCCCATTTGCCCCTCAATTTCCTCATCTGTGGGATAAGCGTCAAGACTACCTTACAGCGGGAGTCAGAGGATGGCAAGTCAGCAGAACAGTGTCTGTCACCCAGAAGGCGCCCCCCCAATCTGGCTTCCATCCATCCCCCCCACTCACTCACATCCCAACGGTCCTTCACCCCATCTCCTCCCCCAAACCCTCTCTCCGATCTCCAGCCCCCACACACTTCTCTCTTCTCCCAACTCACACAGGATTTATTACCCAATTCACAGAATACAGCCCTTGGTTATAAACCATATGAAACATTTGATAGCATATGCTTATGCATATATGCATGTATTATGATAGATAACATGTACTGTAATTATTTCACAGTGTTAGGCAGGGCTCCTATTTCAAACTCCTCGGCACATCCCCACTGTGAGGTGGGATGCACGGTGCTTGCTGGTGGACTGAACACAGGCCTCTGGGGGAAGAGAGAGACTCTGCATCCTAACAGATCAGGGCAGCAGCACTGCCAGGTGGGGACAGACACCACGTCACTTGAGGAGCCACTAAGGAAGTGGGTGCCTGGTCTGAGGAAGAGGGGAAGGGCTGTCATAAGACAGACCTGCTCTTGAGTTGTAGTCAAGGGCTAACCCCAGAAATAATGAATGGATGGAAGTCACAGGGGGACACACTTAGCTATCATAAGGAAGAAGCTCTGTTGGAACCATCTAAATAGGCAGTGGGCTGCATCAGGAGGGAGGGAGTCCCCCATTGCTGGAGGTAGTCAAGGAAAGACTGAAGCCCCAGTTGAGCATGGCTGTAGAGGGAATGAAACCAGGGGTCGGAAAGCTGAACTACAAAAATGTTGATGTCTTTCCAGCCCAGAGAGTCTTTATGAATCAGAAAAGGATCCTTTTTTTATTCTAGGTAGAGGAAAGCATCTGCAGAAGAGGAAAAGTGGTTTAGTTACATAAAGAAGATTAGAGTTTTTCAGTGCAGTTTGGTATTTTCCAATTGTCGTTCTCCTCACCTCTATCTGTTTCATGGAACTAAGGGATTTGCCAAAGGCAGGTGCCACCAGAAGGGTTAAAAGCTGCTCTCTCCCTGCTTCCCCTCCACTTGCACCCTGACCCTCCTCTCCTGAGGGAC